CACACACACACACACACCTATAATATACACACACACATCTACGTGTGAGGGGCTTCTAGGAGCATAGCACATGCATGTTTACTTTCGCGGCATGTGTCACCTCGCGCAGCCTCCTGGCCCAAAGTTGTCAGTGAGCAGCTGCAATGAGGGCAGACATTTGCTGCAGCCCCTGTTCAACAAAGGTTTGGGGTTGCTTATGCTTCTCAACTCCAACTGGTTTGCGAACTGGAGCAGCATGCCTCCCAACAACTGGAGACAGAGTTTCCTTCATGTGATGAGGTTGTTACAAAGAGCAAGCAGCAATCTGAGAGTTTGGCCTGCAAGTTCCTCAAGTATGACACATCTTTCCCAGCCTGCACTCGCCACCCCTCACTCCTAAACCTAAACATGGGCTCGCGAGCCCCGGCAACCACACTGAAGCTGAAATCCTTGGTCGTATCCTTGCCTGAGCACCCGCGGTGAGCCATGTGCCGCCCCTAACGTGCTCCGCGTGAAGCAAGGGGTACTGAGGCTTAAACATGTCTGCATGTGAACCAATCACCGATGAGTACATCTCAGCAGGTGCACGGCATCAAACAATCTAAAGTCTAAAGACTGCGGTTTCTGATGCGAAGCTGAGGGAGTGCTGCTGGGTCCTCCTTGCCCCGCTGGGGCAAAGCCAAGCAGCGAGCATGCTCTTCGCGCATTCACTCGCCAGCGAATGACACGGACTGCCTCCAGCTATCTGTTGGGCAAGGTTTTTTGTTATTGTTGTGCATGGTCACTTGCAGTTACATCTTTGCAATAATTTCACGGACCTGAAGACGTCATCACTTGGAATGTTGCATCGTCGGCTTGTAAATGACTCAGGCCTACTGGAAAGCTTTGGCCGTCACCACTGCTACGAGCAACTTCCGCATACAAAAGAAGCTGCTGTCCTTGACATGACCTGCGGATACGAGCGCACACTTCCTGAAAGCACGAAAAGACATGTGAGTTCGTAGGAGGCTTGTGTATTCTGTCTGTGTAAAGCCCAGGACGTACCCCTACGCTCTTTTGGTGTCCAAGCTTTCGCGGATACAGCTGAGCGAGTTCAAGCCGTGCTCTGCAAGGCTCGCCTGGGGTCATAGCATAGCCACTTTGCGTGGTTGGAGGAGGTGCCTGAAACCTTAGGCCTTATAAGGCATTTAGGTTGGCTCCGGAGGCATCCGACCTGTCACTTTACGTAGAGGACGGGATGCGACTTACCCATGACGGTTTGAGACGGTAGACAATTCCGAGTGATATGAGAGGGGATGAGCATGCTTTGAGTGTAGACGGCGGAGTTTACCACACTCGGGTAGTGCAGCCGGGTCTGCAAGAACGTTCCAGTTCACGTTTTCACCTCAGAGGTGCTGGCAGTCTTTGCTATTGCATCATCCGTCGTCGTGTTGCTGTGGGGCTACACCCACTCACTCCTGCCAGCATAAGAATATGGCCTGGGTCAAGACGAGTATTAGCCTTTTCGAGCGGTGGCCTTTGAATCCATCCACCTGTCAAATCCCTCCGTGCGTATGGGGCTTCCCTGAAGCTCTGAACCAGAAGTCCAAGAGGCATAGTGATTCGTTTACTTTTCAGGGCAGGGAGGCTTTGAGGCTCATGCAGGAGCCAGACCAGACCCTATTGTCCCCATTACAGTACCTCATCAAGCTCAGCCCGAGCGTGAGACCTTATCCAAAAAAGATCAGAAAACTATGAATCTCTAGGATGCGCATCCACCACAAAACTAAGTTCTCAAAGCGCTGTAAAGCCCAAAAGCCTGAAGCCCTAAGTTTTGAACCCAGGGCGTGCACCTTCATCAAGATCTTCGGAAGCGGCATGGTGCCCACAACCTTTGATCGGAGCTGGGAGGATGCGCCCTGGTTTAGTTTGGTGTATCTAGACCCTGAATAGCGGACCTCCTTTGCAGAGGCTACCTTGATTGAAATACTTTTACCCTCGATCCCTCGTCTCCGGGGTTTGCCGTTATCTTTTGTTTATTGGAAGGTTCCAACTGTGCCCAAAAGTGCACGGGAAAATCTAGGTAGAAGCACTGATGGGAACCCTGGTTCGTATTGCCCGAGATCGTTGGATCTGTATTCGCTGCTGTATTTTGGCCAGGTGTTTCCAAATCAGGTTCCCGCATTGGCTTCACAGATCCCAGGTTGAGACATGCATGAAGCGGTGGCTGAGGGTTTGCGAGATGTGCTGTGATCTTGGAGAGGTGGGAGCTGTAATTTCACAAAGGGAGATGTGCCTGGTTCTACGACAGCCCATATCGTTCCATGTCGCACAGCTGTCTCCCTGACATGGTCCTTAGAAGGAAACCTGGACAAGACGGTAAACCTCCAAAGATTGCAGTTTTGCGCCCACGTCCCCATCAAGGTGTTCGCCGTGGCCGCCACCTCAGCTGACAACATTGCAGGTGGAGGCCCGAGGTGTATTCTAGGTGCCTTCACAATTACCTATACTAGTTTGATCTATTTTGGGGGGCTCCTCATTATAATATAATATACCCCAAAACGCTATTCCACTTTTTAGGGCCCGATGTTAGATAAAAAAGGTTCTGTCCGAATGCATCCTTACTCAGTTGCTTGGTACTAAACCAACCAGACCTGAGCATGCGCATGGAACATGTTGATGAAGCCCTGGGTGTTTAGCTTGGTGGCTTAGTGCCTGGATGCCGTGGTCCGATTGTTTAGTGCTGGGGGCCGGAGACCTGCAATGTTAAGGAAGACGCTAAACCGGAACCCCAAACTCGATTCTCTTGTGCTTGGGAGACGGCTGAGGTTCGCAACGGAGACACCAATCACAGCAGGCTCAGCCACAACTTCCTGGAACCCCGTTGCCCGTTGCTTGCCTCAGCTTAAAATGCTTGTGAGGAGCTTGTTTTCAAGGGTGGCGTTAACAGCGTGGTTTTGGACTCGATGCCTTGGGATTTGCTCACGGCAGCTGCTTATTTACAAGGCACAGGTACGGTGACCAGGTGGTCGCAGCTGTTTGAAGCGTTCTGAGCAAACAGCAGCACGGCACCCGCAGTCGTACTACCAGTAGCTTGCCGTGCACAAGGCACATTACTCGCAGCCAGACCCCTTCAAACTCCAGAATGCGATGCAAAAGATTGGAAATACTGATCTCTCTCACATCAATCTCTGGCTGCTGTATGGTCGCTGGTCGGAATTGTAGGGTCAAAAGACTTTGGGGCTCTGTCTGCCAACGACTTTCACCGGGAAGCGTGTCAGCTTAATGTTTGGGAAACGGATGCTGCAAGGGTGCGACAGGTCCTTCTCCTTGCGGCAGATGCAGCAGGAATGCAACGGAGAAGCAGCCCGACATAGCAGCCGAGCTGCACTTTGTAGGGGCGCACGAATTTCCATTTTTGTCGTCGCTAGCGGACACTGACATGTGGTCACCCACGATCAGTTGCTTGAGCGGGTCTAGCTCTGAAAGTATTCAGTGTGCCTGCATGGTTTACGGGTCTATAGGAGCGATGGTCAATCCCTCAGGTTATGTCATGTCAACCCGCTAAAGTAGGTAAGTAGACAAATATAAGTAAGTAAGCAAGTAAGTAAATAAGTACGTAGGTGAATTAACAAATGATCATATGTATATATATCTATATATATACACACACACACATATATATATATACATATGGGTCTGTCAGTTTTTTTTGGGTTCCGTTTGTAGTCTTGAAGCAATGTTGGCTTGGAGCGAAACATACCCCGAAACATACCTCGAAACATTCCCCAAAACATACCCCTGAAACATACCCTTGTGTCATCCCAATCGTCTGGACGACGCCAGCTTTCCGTAACATACCCGTAACATATTTGAAACATATTTGAAACATACCGGTATTTTCTCCAGGTGGCCCAATGGCCGTTAACTACTACTACTACTACTACTACTACTACTACTACTACTGCAACTACTACCTACTGCTACTACTGCTACTACTACTGCTACTGGTACTGGTACTGGTACTGCTACTGCTACTGCTACTGCTACTGCTACTGCTACTGCTACTGCTACTGCTACTACGACTACTGCTACAACAACAACAACTACAACTACAACTACAACTACAACTGCAACTACAACAACAACTACTACTACTACTACTACTACTACTGCTGCTGCTACTACTACTACTACTACTACTACTAGTACGGCTACTACTACTTCTACCACCACTACCACTACCACTAGCACTACCACTCCTGCTACTACTGCTACTACTACTGCTACTACTGCTACTATTACTGCTACTACTACTACTACTACTACTACTACTACTACTACTACTTCTACTTCTACCACTACCAATACTACTATCAGTACCACTACTACTGCTGCTGCTACTACTACTACTACTACTACTGCT